ACAGCATACAGACTGGAGTCAAGGATGCAACAACTTCTCTGGAAATGTGAGTCAGCAGCCAGATTCCCTTCTCCAAGTTCACGAGTCAAATTTCCCACTGAGCCTGAACTAAATCGCTGTGCCTTCCCCTCACTTTCCAGTTCTGGTTGAGCAGTGTTCAGAGCAACACTTCTCTCTGAATTATCTCTTCAATAAAACCTTTTAAACCTTTTCCCTGGTCTCTCTGTTTGGTCTTCTGCATTTGGGTCTGAACCTTAGTAAAATCATGACAAAAACAATAAATAAACATTTATTAATAAATCAAAGAAAACATTAACAATCAATGGCAAATGGGGGCAAGAGGAATTCATGAGATCTCAGGGCTTCATGGCTGAATATACTAAATGCTGAATGCAGGATACACGAACAAAAAGCTAAAATCAGCATAAAATATCAGCCAACCAATGCATCGGTTTTTCTTTAGAAGACAGAGACAATTGAGGCTCCAAAATTCACCAAATCCTTGGTTATTCCTCTCACACAGCTTTTCCAGTTTGGCTTCATTAAGGTGTTTTTTAGTATAATTGCAAAGGGTTATTTTAGATTATTTAGAATAATAATAGAAAAGCCCAGATTCTTTCAAACATGCGCAAAAAATACGTTTTTTAGAGATGTATTAAATATTAATATTAATAGAATTACATTAAAAACAATAATTATCTTCAGTTCATATTGTCTCCAATGACATAAAACGATGTTATTTTTGGTTTTAGTGCAAAAATACTATGTTTTCTCCTCTAAATGTTTTTTTTCTGATAAAACAACAATGTGGGATCCTACCATTGATGTATCCATTAAAATGCATGCAGTGGTTATACTGCACAGCAGGCTCCATGGAGCAAGCCAGTTCCTCCTCCTCCACCCCGCTGTTGAGCGAGCTGTGCGTGCCGTTGGTGAAGGAGGACATGCTAGGCTCCAAGCTGCTGCAGGACCCCTTAGTATCAGACCTCCAACTCCAGTCCTGCACTGTTAAAAAGTGAGGGTCTGGGTCCCAGCCTGGGGACAGAAATTCAACCTTAGACAATCTCACTAAAGATGTACCGTTTGCAAACATTTATTTTCATCTCATACAAACATCTCTCCTACATTTTTGGTTTTGCTCTGTCATACCTCTTATCTCTCCATTCTTGTCACTGAATTCATCATTCCAATTCTCACTCTCTTCATTTTTCCTCCAAATCTCGTTTTCCTCTTTTTTTGTTTTCCTCCCTTCTGCCTCCTCGCTGCTCATACCTTGTCCAGGCACGATGCCGTCTCTGTCTTTCTCCTGGACGTTTTGTATGTCCTCCCAAAGATCCCCATAGCCTGAGAAGTGAGGAAAAACCCTCTGGGTCAACCAGCAAATTGCTGTCCTGCAACACATTCATACCATTTAAATATTTTGCCATGTTACAACCTTAAACCTGTTTGTGTTATAGCAACATAATTGTGAAAGGGAAGGAAATATGCACACTGATTTTAATTATCTTTACAAATAGAAAGTATGCATGCTTCAATCCACTTTTACTCAAATAACCTCAAATAAAATGTCGTGTTCAATCATAGTAAAAAAAAAAGATCACTGCAGGTGATGAAGCTGTGGGGAAAGTTTGGAAATTTCTAAGTTATAAAATAACTTTTCAAGTTTCCATCCATCAGCCCAAAATTGAAAAAAAAAAAAACTAAATTGCTAAGCTACAACAACAAAGACATTCACTTAATCTGACAAGAAACCTGCCCTTAAAACAACTATGGCAAGAGGAAAGCCAAAGTGAAAAGAAAGTCACAAGATGGACCATTTTGCAGTTTTCTATAAGCCATGTAGCACACAGAGAAAACCCAATGCCACCAATTTTCCCTTAAAGTTCTTTAGCTCTTCACTGCTTTACTCCAGCTGTTGTTTGCAGCTCCACCTCCAGCTGACAATGTCGTGCTCCCAGCAGGTTTAAACCATTACTGTTTGACTTAGCGTATTAAAAGAGTACAGCACATGTTCCAGGGATTTTGCAGATGTTTGTCCCCTCTGGCAAAAAGTTGAAATGACAATGACTGTGATGTATAGATGAATTGGGAAAGAGAAAATGTTCTGCTGCAAACCGCAGCTTTATTCCTAACAAAAGCATTAACAAATGACAAAATAGTGTTCGTATTACTGTATATGCAAAAATCTTTAGAGTTTTTATATGTTATTGTCATATTTCATCCCTACTCAGCTCATTTCCCCACTGCTGACATGTAAAAAGCTGTTCTGGTAGAGATTCAAAAGAGATGGAAACACTCGCAAAGCACCTAAGTGAAGCAGAGCTGACCTAAGTGCCCCAAAACACACTCTCCTGACATAACTACTGTACAATGTCACATTTTAGAATGGCCTATTCAAAGTCCAAACCTGAACTTTTTTTCAATTGGTGGACTATAAATAAACTGAATTAAATGCAATCCATCCATCCATTTTCCTCCACGCTTATCCCTGCTGGGTTAACAAGGGGTGCTGGTGCCTATCTATAGCTGTCAATGGGCGAGAAGCTTGGTACACCCTGGACAGGTCGCCAGTCTGTCATAGAGCAACACAGAGACAAATTGGACAAAAATACATTCAAGAACACACTGCACCACTTTACAGCCAATTAATTAAATGCAATCAATTCGGTAAAACTCTATCATTGATGTTCACAGATGCTCTGAGAACTCTCTAGATGCTCTTGATTCCTTATGTGAAGCAGTAGGCAAAGAAACTTCCATATTTAGATGTGCATAATTATAGGGCAAGTTACCGTTTTTGATCCCTTGCATATCCCTTACAAATGGAGTCCCCCCTGTCCCTCAGTGAGGTCTAGAAGCACAAGATCTACATCCAGCCATTCAGCAAAGATACTGCTACATGGCTGAACATCTTATTTTGGTGTTTGACCAATTAGATGAGCCTTTGAATGATATATTACGTGCTGTAAATTAAGCTGAAAAAAAGTTAACAAGCCAAGAAAAAAAGGTAAAAACCTAACTTAAAAGTTAAAAAGTAAAGTTAAAAAGTTAATAAGCCTAGTTAACAATTATATTTAGGTTTATAAACAAAAAAAGTAATTTCCAGTATCAGCATTAGTGCCTCTAAGGTTATGTTGTACAAAAAAAAGTGTTTCCTTCACTCTCATGAATTTCTTATAGAAATATATTTGTTATTTTTCTTAATATATTTGAGCAAGTCTACGTTTCATACATTTTTGACATTAAGATATCCTTATTTTTTTGAATGTTACAAAGGTTATAAGATCAGTTCCTGGATTTTAATAACACTATTGGCTTGAAATTTGGATTTTCAAAGTATTTCACTGAGTGCACTATAAAGGGTTAAAATATGAGTGATTGTAGAAAAGCTTACAGCACACACTTTCCTTCAGAGACTATTACAAGTAAAAAATTAGTAATCTAAAGACAGCACACATAAAACACACATATTTGTTCTAAAAGCCTGGATTAAATCAAATTGGGATAAAACACAAAACAACTTATCTACAAAGTCTACATAGGAACTAAGACTAAATACTTGCCCTCCAGTGTTGGCTTCTTGAACTGTTTAACCAGCTCCCCTAATAATAAGAACACATGGTTAATATGTTTTCATTATATACAATGGGCCTTTGAGTTTTCAACAATAATAAGACTAACATGTTTATGGTCTTTACCTGCATGCTCTGCAAAAGGTCTGGTAAAGGGTCTCTTGTCTATTTCATTTCCTTCCTCCTCTTCCTCTTCATCCACTTGAGTGTAGAAGTTGCCTAGCCTCTGAACCAGTTCTGTAACTTCCTCTGAGATTGGGATGGTCTCCAAAATCTGACAATGTACACAAAAAAAAAACAGAGTTACTGCGGATATGATATCAACTTGCCACAAAGGTCCAACATATTTGGCAGAGAACACAAACATGCCAATGCAGATATTTTTAGGACTCAGTTTCTTTATGCTTCCTTTTTTCTGTGAAGACCACGTACCAGCTGGATGTTCTCCACATAGTTCTTCATGGCTTCCTCTTTTGTCATGTTTCCCAGAGAGCTCCATGCATCCCTGACAACACAGTCAAAGTTCAAATACCTTAAACTGAACTTTCTGTGAAGAGTCTTTTCCCAAGCTAATAAAGAAGGCGGGAAATGGTTGAGAAAAAAATTGTGCTACGCCAAACTTTTCACACCCCTTAAGCTTCTTGACATTCTGCCAGGTTAAAACCACAAATCTTATTTTACTTGTATATATGTGGTGGACCAACACAAACTAGTGCAAAACTCTGTAGGGTATGAAATTTTCCAAATCGAATCTTAAAAGTATTGTTTACATTTTTATTCAGGATCTTAGATAATATAAAAAGAAAAAAAAATCTTTGCTCAAAATCTCCAAGTTCTGATTCTTTTGATTAATATCTGTGAAAGCTTTGGAAAATAAAAAAATAAATAACAATCAGCTAAAACTCAGTCAGACTGGATGCCAAGCTTTGCCACAGATTGTCAGCTCTGCCGGTACATTTAGGATTGTTTGTCTGCTGGAGGTTAACCATCTGGCCCAGTTGTTGTCCTTTTTGTGACTTCAACAGTTTTTTTTGTTTGTTTTTTTTTACATTACATTTTATTAGGTCTTCACATTAAAAATAAGCAAGCCCGCTCCATGATGCTGCAATAGCCGTGTTAATGGTGAGGTTAAATATTCATTCTCTGCTAGGGTCACTTGCAGCTGCTTGAATGAAGGCCAAAATTTTGTCCTTTTCTAAAATTAGCAGTTTTCTCTAGATGTTCAGTATCCCTTAGGGTCCTCAGGGCTCGAGATACTACAAGGTTTACATATTTCCCTGCTGTCATACATCTGTCCACTGTCACTATATGCTCATCTAGAAGGAGTAAACCTGCAAAGTCATTGACGCATAGCAGTCTGCTTGGTGAAGTGGTGCTTTATAAATAACCTGAATTGAGCTGAATTAAAATATAAGAGTCAAAGACTCATGCTAAACTAGATAGTTTGCTGAGGAGGGAACGCAGTCGTTTATGTCAGGTCTGTGGAGCATGGAAACATCTAAAAACAGAAACAAAACTGGGAGCCAGGGACCACTGTGTAAACCTGCCAACATGACTTCTGTCTGTATTTAATAAAATTGCTTTTTTTTTTCTCCATTCCTTTCTTAATATTTGAAGTTATGGACTAACTGATGTCCTGTTTAGGGCTTAAAAGTATAGTGGAGGATGTTCTTTTTTTCCAAGGGCAGCATCAAAATAAGTAGTCCTCCTAATTGTCAATCATCCCGGTGATATGTTTAGGTAATAAAAAACACGGCAGTTTTAATGTCTGGCAAAATCCCAGTGCCCTAGTCTCCTCTCAAACCCTCACAACTGCACTGTTCAGATCCCCCTATCCATCTTGGTAGTTAACTAAACTTTGAGTCCTTTGTTTAATTTGCTGAATAATAGATTTAAAAGAGATCTGTGATATGTTCAAGGTTTGGAAGATTACTATAACTTAATTCTGCTATAAACTACTCAACAACTGCATCGCTGACCTGTCTGCTAAAATCGTTGGTCTTATGATGTTGTCTGTTCTCTGATATCTCCTCTGAGACCTTCACAAAACAGCTGTATATGTATAAAGAATTCTCAGTTTTTACCTAATAACAGCATCTGGATTTGTGGTGTTAACACATTTTGAAAAACAGGTTGGTCAATCACATAAATTTCCATAAAATTACATGGAGTTTTCTGTCATGTGACAAACGTTTGCAAGACATTGGAAATGATCTGTAAAGAATGCACTGAGCTCTTCATCTTTGAATGTTTCCTGCCTTTCCAGTAAAATAAATGTACCATTTATCTTTTCCTCGACTGTCCCAGAAGCCATTTGGTCTCGGGATCTGACAGGGCCCCGTGGTAGCCTGCTTATAGTAACTATAAAACATCAACATCATGTCATCGGAGGGCTGGAAAGGACCTGAGAAGCGAGAAAAAGATTAAATATAAAACGTGTTTACAAAGACTAGAGATGTACTGTTAAATCCATTATACATGTACTGTAAGCCACATGGGCAGATAATCACAGCTCCTTATGCTTATAGCAGCTTGAGGAGCAGGGCTGCCAGGATTGACAGCTCTGCATCTAGGTCAGTCACCTGGACTGTTTATTGTCTGCAAGCGCACATTTCATAGACTACTGTGCATGATTAGACTCTGGTGTTTACAATTATATTATTTTCAGAACAGGTAGGGAGAAATCCTCACCTTCTTCTGGCAAAGTCCGGATCACTTTAACCGCAGCGGCAAATTTCTCCTCCAGGCTGTGTTCCTCCTCCTCCTCCTCATGCTCCATGCTGAGTCCACACAGGGATGACATGAAAGGATCCTCCGATCCTGGAGGAAAAAAGGGGATTAAAATAAAGGTAGATCTGATAGTGCCTGAGAAGAAGAGTATTCTTCACCTGCTATGCAACCCGGATATGGAAGATAAAATCTCACTCAATTTGTGACATTTTATATTTAAATCTGTCAGCACAGTTAACCTAACCTCTCTCCTTCAATGAGGCAGCCCCTCCCCTCCAAGCTTCATGTTCAGCAAACCAACCTTATTGCTTCATTTAGCCGACGTCTGCCTGTAATCTGTAGCAGACAGCCAATCTCCTCTCCGGTCAAGGATGAGCCAAGCAGTGTGTGGGAAATGTAGTTCATTGCAGAACAAGCTTTGCTGGAATTATGTTCACCTCCCACTGTTGAAGGATTTAAAATCCCACAAACCGCCTTTGCAGGGGATTTAAAACAGAAGGGTTATGGGAAGTGTAGGAATATATACAGGAAATGTTTTGTCTGCATTTATAATTGTAGAAGTTGCCTTATGTTTAGAAACAGAAGGCAAATAAACACTCTCTTAATACTGTAGAAATGATTTATATTAATTAAAAAGGGAAGGATCATTTGTACATTCAAACAAAGAGGAGTGCTTTGAATATTGTAAGACTAAATTTATGAATTATAAAGCAGGTTTGTACTAATGGCCAATAGCAGCGAGGGGGTTCATGGGAAATGTAGGCTTAGTGAATGTCCAACAAAATGTTGAAACAAACGCTGGTGAATGCTGATAAAAATATAAAGATCCGCCTGATCATAACAGTTTAATTTCTGTGTTTATGACATTTTCCACATCTTGATCACGGATTTAAAATTTATTAAAAATGTGCATGTCCAAAAGATTGATTTAGATTGCACAGTAGATCTTGTCTTAATGACCTCTTTTTGGATTTATGAGTCAATTTGTGATGATGGGTGACAAAACTGAGTGATTTTCTCTTCTCATTTTGATATTTGATTTGCATTGATGGACAATAAATAAAACTTTTCTTAGATTAAATATATCCAAAAGAAAATAAATCACATCATCTGTATTTTTTAGATTCATTTACATCATTTTTTTTTTTTTATTATTTCTGTAGTTGTATAATCGTTTTGCTACATGCTTTTTTGTTTTATTATGGGTATGAAAATCAAATAAAAGTTTAATATCCTCCTGATATTGTCTGATTTATATTTTTTATTAATTGTTTAGTCTGATATTCCATAAAATATCATCCAGTCATATAATTACGTGGAAAACAGCCGCAGCGAATTGTGATTGGTTAACCCCGCCCACCGCCCGGCTCTAAGCCAATGAGCGCCGGCCGTTTACAGCGTAGCCGGGATTAGTCACGGACTGTTGTGAATCGGAGGCCAGCGCAGCCACAATGCCAGATGGGGGAGCCCCTTTCTCAGCAACACAGCACAGCATCACAGCCTCGCCTCAGTGAGAGAAAAAAAGACGGGCAGGAGAGCAATGCAAAGGGATGTAAGATGGCAGAGCTACAAATGCTATTAGAGGAGGAAATCCCGGCCGGTAAAAGAGCGCTGGTGGAAAGCTATCAGAACCTGTCCCGGGTAGCGGAATACTGTGAAAACAATTATGTTCAGGTAAGTAAAGGCGAATTTTATTCTCTCTCTCCATGTCTCCGTCGTGCCTGCGGTGTTGTAGCTGAGGAGAGTGAAACCACGGCGACAGGAAATGCTGGTCGCGATGAAAGCGGTTCTCTAACCGCTGCTCTCTCTCAGTGGCCTCGCGGCTCCCGGTGGGCTGTTTCCAACCGCCGAGGCTCGCGCCGCTCTGCACGGCGGCGTTTTCTCCGCTCAGCTTCGGTTCCAAACAACGGGCTTTTCTCTGCGAGCTAAATGGTGCCGGGGGCTTTCAGAGGGTGTGTCATTATTAAAGCTATAACTGGTTCCTCACTTAATTCTCTCATAGGTACCTTTAACAGACTATGGGGGTCCCAATCATATAATCATTTCCTTCACGAATCACTCTCTATTTAATGGTGTTGTTAAGGCGTCATAACAGCGTTATAAATTATATACTCGATTCTTAAAGGATATTAATGATCATATTTATGTATTTGCTTCATGTAAATGTGTTCCTCGTGTTTTTATTTTCAGAGATATTATCATTAAATTGTAATTGTAGTTATTACCTATGTGAAGCTCGGAGTAAGCCATTACCTTGCAGTCATATGCAGAGATGCACCAATAGGCCAGCTGGAGATTGAAACTGGGCGATTTTCCTTTGATCTTCTCTGATCAGTGATCAAGAGAGCAGTTTTCTATCAAATTTCTAAGAATAAAAACGCAATAAAAGCAAGAGCAGCAGAGAATTTCCATCATTTTGTATTTATAAACACGTCAACTGTATGCACGTCTCTTTTTTGCCTTAGTTTGAGTTTAAAAACAGCTGATGCATCTTAGGGAGATGCATTAATAAAAAAAGAATAAATCATCATCAATAAACCAGTATTAGGCTGAAGAAGCTTGACTGTTGCATATCAACACATATTAGATTTTACCTTTGTATTCTAAGTTTAGGTTGCTCAGTGCACGGTGGGCAGTAAGAAGGTTGCGGGTTTGATTTCCGGCCCAGGGGATATCTGCATGGAGTTTGTATGTTCTTCCTGAGCATGTATGGGTTCTCTCCGGGTACTCCGGCTTCCTCCCACAGCCCAAAAAACATGGCTGTTAAGTTAATTGGTGTCTCTAAATTCCTCCTAGGTGTGAGTGTGTGAATGGTTCTTTGTCCTGTTCGTCTCAGTGTTGCCCTACGATGGACTGGCAACCTGTCCAGGGTGGACCCCGCCTCTCGCCTGTAGACAGCTGGAGATAGGCACCAGCACTCCTTGCGACTCCGCTTGGGATAACCGTGACAGAAAGTGGATGGATGGTGGTGGATTCTAAGTTGAGACTGCTTTCTTAAGGCTTAGCTGTTTATTTGGTGGCGTAACAGAATAAAACATTTATATCCGTACATTTTTTACATATATTGAGTATTGATTTTAAACAGTGTACCTGCTTTAAATATCTTTCCTCTAAATGTAAAGTAACTATAAAGAAAAAGTTTAAATAGGTTTGACTTTTGCTACCTGTGGCGTGACTTATTGATTCTGTGTTAAAAGCAAAAAAGAAGAAAAAATCAAATCAGAATGAGTAAGATCTATTTTTTCCGAATTCACTAGATCTATTAATTTTTTTTCCTTTAAAGCTTCAAGCTGCAGCGTGTAATATCTAGTCCTGTTTTTGAGTGTAATAAACATCCGATGAAAGCTCTAAATACAAGCTTTGATACATGAATAGGGCAATCTGGTAGTCTTTGATTTTTCTGGTGGAATCATCTCCATCAGAACCTGTGTTAAATTTTTTTTTCTTGTATGAGTGATAATGCTTTGAAAAGCAAAACATAACACTAAAAAAGTCATAATAAAAAAAGGTTATAGATTATTAACTAATACTGATCACATCAATCCAGATTATTTGTGAGTAGCTTTATATCAATATTGCCTACAGTTGCGCATGTTTTCTTCAGTTTTCTTCCATCTATATCATTATAAGAACACCCATCCACTCTCCACAAACTTTTGCATCTCCGTCACTAAAAGTTTATATCAGGGTTGCACATCTTGTAAAAAAAGATTACATCTATAGCAGGGTAAATGTGGAATTTCCACGCAGAAGCAAATGCATCACACAGGATATTCAAAGATCTGCTAAATGCTGCAACCGAGCAGGCATTTGAGATTTCAGTATTGCACACATTGACATTGTGATGATGACCGTGATTTTATTTAATATTCTGCCAGAGAGTGTTTTTTTTTTTTTTTTTTGGATGTGTGAGCTTAGCATTGCTGGCTGAATGGTCTGGTATGAACTGTTATGGCTCTCTGTATCGAGACCAAGAGCTTTTGCTCCACAGTGGTCATTATTTCCACTGTGATGCTGTGAAAGACCATAATAGCACATGTGATTGCTTTATTCCTGTCACCATCAGAAATACAATGCAGTTTCAGTTGATTGAGTGCAGACTTCACATTTTAAATGCAGGGCTTTCAGACCTAGATTAGAGGTCACAGTTGAAGCTAAATGTGGGGGCGTTTATTATTATTTTTTTTGTTACTAAATTCAGTTTGAATGGTCACGTTGGCTTTTAATGTGAGATTACTGATAGTAAAGATAGTCAGTCAGTCATAAAGCCTGGGAGAGCAGCTTTTCTTTTATCTTTGCTTGCCATAGCTACAGGATGAAATTCTCACGGTATGGCCATCTTAAGAAAAAATACCAGAGTTTTATGGTCTTAAAAAACAAAAGGTAATAAGTTTAACATAACCCAGTCTTTTTTATTTGAAACAGAGAAGCAACATTCTTCCTTTCTGCTTTAGAATGGACTTTAATTACTATTTTATATACCAATATATTTCAGTCAAGCTTTACCTCAGTAGTTGAAACATTAATACAAGAGGACTCAAAGTAGTTTTTGAAACAGCATAGTGTCCCTGACTTGTTGGAAGACGAATAATTATGCCTCAAATTTTTGCTCATCAGTAAACAGTTTAAAAGAACAAAAAGGTCCCACCGATTGGAATTCCGAGCATGAAAATGTATTTGATACTAACCAAACTTGATCTTAAAATTCATTTTGGCTGTTTGGAAAAATATGTTGTTTTAAAAACAGACTGTTTGCCCTACAAAACCTCTGTTAGTGGAATAGTGTCTGTCGGATGTCGACACACAAGGTTTGACTGACAAACTGAAGAAAAATACTTTCCAAATTTGACAGTTCTTCAGCTTAAAACTGGAGGATTGGCAAAGGGATGAGCAATTAACTGTATTTGGAACATGATCAAAATTGAATAAAAAGCTAATTTCAAATCACATAGGAATTCAGTTTCGGTCACATTGAAGCACCTTTTCTCACAAAGTTTACAATAAAGTCCTGCAACAAAAGCGAAACCTTGGAGTGAAACATTTACATGCTCCTGGTTAAGTAAGTAAAGGAAAATTGAAATCAATTGCAGATATGATTGTTGGTAAAATAATTCAGCATTAGAGGAGTTATTACCAGATCCAAGATTAATTCATTGTGTTTGCTATAAAATTACAATTTAAATGAAAAATAAGTTAATTTCAAATTTGCACATACACAAAGGGGTCTTATTACATTTCAACAGAGTAACACATGATTTCTCCCCCCTTCCCTTTAGTTGGCAATAATACTATTAAAGCAGGTTTGTGGTCACATGTGGAGAATGATGCTTTGTTGCTGTTTTACTTTTACAACAAGTAAAGCAACTGATACCAACAGGTAAGTTAGTCTGGTTAACGTCTCAGGTCTGCCATACGTCAGTCCTACTAAATAGAAAAATTAAAAAGTGGAGCTTTTTTAGTTTTCCCTACGTAACTGTCTGTGTGGTTCTAAAGGCTAAATTTCTGGAATATTTTTGTCATGCAGTTTCAGCCAGCTCACCAGCAGTGTGATACTCCACACACCAGAAGAAATACCTAACCTGATCCTCTGCCATCTAAACAGAATTTAAATAACTGAAAACTGTAACTGTACCCATTAGGAGTCATTGACTAATTGTTTCTTAGGAATAGTAATTAAGCTCACTATTCTAAATTTACAATATAAATATACAGTATATTGATGATTAATTATTAGTAGCTTGTGATTTACACTTAGTTATTATGCAGCTGTTATTAGCCATATAATGAGTTCTGTTAACATCTGGTATAGCATAATAATTGTCCCAATTAGTGGGGAAACTAAATTGCTTTTGTGGAGACATATATAGAGGATAGTTATGCAGATAAGTACCTCCATATGTACTGGATGATTTTCATGGGTTTATTATTGTAATAACTGTGATTATTCTTTGTCTTTATTAAAAAAAAAAAATAATAATAATCTAGTTGAACATTCATTTTGATCTTTTTTTTTTGGCAGATCTTGAAAGGTGTTCACTTTTACAGCAGGGCAGCCAGGTATTGAATTTCAAAATTCAACTTCAAATATCTGATATTATTAGAAGCATTTGAAAAACTGCTAATTAAAAACGCTGAGTGTAAAGGATAGGCAAACAGTTTCAGTTAATAAAACATCTGCAATGTTAATACTGGGTATTCTAAATTGAGCTTCTCCTGAGTCATAAGATCATATTTAAGCCTATTGCTGCTGCCAAAAATATAAGCTAATATCTGCTTATTTTAATATCAGATGGTTCTGCATGCAGGCCATTTGAAAAGCAATTGTAGAAAAACAAACAGTAGGTCTGGATATGTAAATCGTTTCTGTGGTGCTTCAGAAAAGGAGTTCTATTCTTAGATCAGATACCCCCCCAGTTTTTATAAAACTGTCAAACTGTCATTAATACAATATATATTTATAATCTGTTACATGTTATTTGCTGTTTTTGGATTATAAATAGGCCAACGTTATCAAAATCAAAGACCTTTTTTTCCATGATCCAAATTCAGCTTTGCATATTTACCACATTGTTTCCAAAATCACTGCTTAGGCCTTTATTAGACTAATCAAAGTTAAATAATTTAACCTAAAAGGAAAAACTAGGAGGAGGGCATTTAGATATTGTAAATAAGAAAAGGAAAAAATAGTTATATTACATCCATTTATAACTATTGCAAAACATGAAATGTCGTAGAGTTGTTAAAAAATCAGTGTGCAGAGATCTCTTAGGGAATTTAATCCACCTTCAAGAGTCCAGCCTTTTTATACTTTCCTTCTTTTACATTACATTTTAACAGATGCCTCATTTCTGGGTGTTTTGGATAGAAAGACAGTCACGTTAGTCTAGATCTGCCATTGTTTATTTTATTTTGTTTGGGAAAAACACACCATGTGAAATGAAATTAATAGGATTTATATTAGAGCTCTTAGGTTTGATATGTACATATATATATATACTTGTTAAAAATTGTTTATAGAAACATTTAACCAACAATAGATGTTTAAGGACCTAAGTTCCATTAAGAAATTTAGACTATTTCCTCCAGACAAAACTCTGATTACCTAGCTCATTCAAACAATGTCAACTTTTGTTATCCTTCAACCCGAATCGATAACCAGTGTGAACAGGAATCGTAAAGAGAAACTGGAACCATATGTACGATGCCCCACCCTAATCCTTAAGATGAACATTGGGTAGATGTTTTAATTTGCATCAGTGTGATTGCATTGTTAATTATTTAATTGATGTACTGATTACGATCAATGTATTGTTATTTCTGACCTTTTTAGTAAATTTCTAGCTAATGAATTATTGATAAGACACAGGGGATGTACTGTATACCTTACACAGCATTGTGTTGCAAATACTGTATACTGTAATAATGTTATTCTAGAGAAAAAATACTTATAAGGCTGATTTTAGTAGATTAAAAGTTAACATTGACTATAAACATCAGTCTACGTGGGGTTTCCTGCTTAGAGAATATACAGTTTTATCTGGCTTGAATCTAAAACTTACGTTGCACTACATGATTGGCTGAATGTTGCCACATGATGTGAAACATAGTTGTTGCCCAGACAATGGTAATAACATCACGTAGCGTCCGTGCGCCGAGTCGGGAGCATCTGTATTGTTAGCGTGTCTAATGGCCGATGAAGTTTTACCTGATCAATAACATAACTGTAAAAAGAATGTTTATGGGGAACAAAGTAACTGCAAGACCAGTGTGTAGCTGGGTAGCGCTGTGGCTAGCTGTGTTCAGTAGTTAACAGGTTAGCCTCTTTTAGCTTGGTTAGGTAGCCATATTAAGCTACTATACTTCTAACTTTGTGTCAACAACAACTGTTAGTTTTCTATAAGCAGAATAACTGTTTTATTTGTCTAAAATCTCTATGAAAGTCATTTTAAGATACCCCCTTTGTCCTCCAATGCCCTTAGATCTTAGGAAAAAAAATAAGCTGAGACATTTTTTGTCACCTTGTTAAATGGCAGAGCTCAATCTTAGAAGGCAGTACTTTCCTTCAAGACTGACAATGATTGTTTTCTACTTTTGGCTACTTTAGATCACAGATGATATGTAAAATAATAGCAAATATATGTAATAATCTGTGAAACTCCAAAAGAGATTTGATCCTTAAGAAACCGGTGCAATACAGTTTTTACAAGTAAAGTCGCCATATGTTGACGTCATAAGAAGGGGCAGGGCCCGAGCAGATCTGAGCACCTGAGCAGATCTAGGACCTACACCTGGCCCTGTTACATGACAGAGAGAAATTTTAATTGAAAAGAAAGAAAAAAAGAAAGCAACTTTACTGAAACTGGTTTGGCTTTGCTGCTTTTCGCTGTAGGTTATGTTGGGAAAGCTTTTAATCCTCCATGTGCTTCGCCTGACTTTATTTTAAAAAAACTATTTAATATTGAAATTGAATTTCTCTGTTTTCTTCTCTTTGTATTGACTTCTACTCCAAAAGATATCGTAATGAATCAAGCTGAAAGTCAGCTGATATCAACCACGAAACGGTTTCTCTCTGTTTCTCCCTCCAAACAGACATCTTATTTTTCAGATTACTCCATCACTCTATGGTAACTCTGAACAGTGTTGTTTATTTGCCTTTGTCCAATTAATAGAAAAGTAACTCAGCTTTAATACTGTTTCCTGGCTAATTTTAGTAAAGCTATTTAGGACTTAGCTTTGTGTATTCTTTGCTTCTTTTTGTTTACATTTCTCATTTAACAGTCTTTTTTTAGCTTGTAAATGTCAATTTTGATCCACAGAGTTTACAGAAGTAATGTAGGTTAGTGCTCTGAACAAGTTTATTTCAGTCCATAAATGCTATTATGCTTATCAGCTGAAGAAATCCCAAGTGGAGTCTCTATAGAAAAGCACACTTTATTTTAAATAAAATTGTTATTTTTTGTATTTTTTAGAAAAATTTTCCCACTTATGATATTTTGTTTACCTTTTTTTATTTTTCACTAAACCCAATCCCACACTTTAGTTGCTAGCTTCATAATATTTTCAGTTATAACTTTTTTCCCGTTTATTTGCATGGAAAACGTTTTTAGAATTGAAATATTTGTCCTTCTTCCAGTGTTTATGATAAACCAGTCAACAAATATGTTCCTTCTGCCTTTTCAACAAAGAGATCCTGATAAACAAGTTTACATAAACACTTAGCATGAAGCATCAATAGATTAACATGTTTCTGCTGAATCCTCAGGGTGCTAATTAGCCTCATTTGGAGAAGTCAAACATATGACATGAAGACAGTTTAACAGTTTTCAGGGGCTTTGCTACAAAAATGCTCATATTGTCAGTGTTGGTTAGCAGGGAGTCGGACGATTTCACCCAATTACAGTAACTCTTCTAGAAGTTTAGCAAGAACAAAAAAAAAAAAATTAAAAAATGAATAAAAGAATAATTTTTCCTGGCCATTTTTTATGAGCAGATTTATTTGTATTAGATGAAGGGGTTACATCTCACTCTATAAGAGAAATTCTTTTAAAATAGAATTTGTTTTGTCCTAAAACAAAGATGAAATGATTAATGCGTTAGAATTTAAATGTTAGTCTGACTTGAAGTTACTAATTTGAGATTTTCTCTGAGGATCGCAGATTTTTATCTCGGTGAAAATTTTCAACGACTGCCGTCCTTTTCAAAAATTAGCTTCCTTCTGTGACTTTCAAAGGTTGGAAACTCAAGAGGACAAAGCAGATCAACTTCGCTGTGAGAGATTTAAGCTTTTTATCCCTGGTCATGTCTTTCAAAATGCCTCCAAAATCTTTGTGCTTCATATTCGATTGTTCTTCTCTCAGCAAAAACTTCCACACAAAGATTGTCTTTGTTACTGTGTTGCTTTTACTGACTGGAAAAAAAACAAGAGCTGTCAGTTTCCAGCCATCTGGTCTCAGGGTCAGAAAAGTTGATAACTGCCTTTTTATGGTCACTAACTAATCTCTCAGTGCTTCCCTAAATCAGCCAAATGTTATTGGGCTCCGATAAAACCATCTTTATTCAAGCGAGAACCTTGTTTGTGATACGAAATGAGGGTAAAAAAAAAACGAATTCAAAACACTATCGGTTTATATGTTGCTCACACACCAATGACTGAAATAAGGGGTGTTGTATTGATCTCGCATGTTAAGTCTCAGATAATCCTGGCATTTCTGTAATTCAAACAACACAGTAGTGGGTGCACTAATCTGCATATTTATGCTTCTGTAGAGAAACATCTGAAATACATTTAAGTGAAATGGAGATTATTATACAAGAAACATGAATTACATTTTGATATACAGGGGATCCACGGCTAAAGTGATTACACTTTCAGTCTGTTAATATAGTGATAGAAACTAATCCCTTTTTTTTTAATTAAATACTCAAGTAGATATCTTGGTATTTTTGATTCTCTGCTGTTTTGTTGGGATTAAATAAAGCACAAAAGGCAGAGCGAAGAACTACATTATAATGGACAGATTTAGATTATTGGTTTTTTATTCAGAACATCTGTGGAGTAATTAAAGTCCTGGTTTCTAAATGATCTTGGCAGTCCCCTGTTAGAGCGCCTCTCTGTGTGCAGCAGCATTATCCCTGTTTTGTTTCCAAACTATAAATATGTCCACTCAATCCCAATGCTATGCAGAGGCATCCAGAAACAGATGGTTTGTGCAGCCGGCCAGAGATTTGGGATCCCGTAAAAAAAAAAAAAAATCCTGGCATTCCTGCACTCTGGGCTGAAATCCCACCATGCACCTGTCCCATGCTGCCAGCCTGGCTTACCAGCGTTGCGTAGTGAAATTTCCTAGCTGTGTTTTCCCTCACATAGTCATTCCTCTAAAGACTCGCAAACTTGTCTTCACTTCTCCTCAGAGCTTAACAGGGTTTTACAGTTTGAAAACAGCCGAGACTGAATGGCCCTGTCAGACACTGCTCTCCAGGCTCTCAGCTTAAAAAAACTGACATAAGAGTAAAAATGAGAGTACAGCGTTTTCTCTGCTGGCTTCTTTATTTCATTCACCCCCACATCCCTGCACTGCTATTTTTTCTCTGACTTCTGGTTTCTCTTCCTCTCCCTGCCAGGCTCAAGACAAAAGGAAAGCCCTGGAGGAGACCAAAGCCTACACCACCCAGTCTCTGGCCAGTGTTGCCTACCAGATCAATGCCTTAGCAAATAATGTGCTGCAGCTGCTGGACATCCAGGCCTCGCAGCTCCGACGAATGGAGTCCTCCATCAATCACATTTCCCAGGTATAAAGAGCAGCAGTTATCTGCCCACACGTCCTTCCTTTGTTTCTTCAAGCTTCCTGAGTTGTTTTCTGATACATTTTTTGTGAACTATTTCAAATTATGTGCCATGTGCTGGAATTCTACACAATGCAGTGGTAGATAGCATGATTTTCAATTTACAAATGCATTTACCTACATAAAAGATGCATTCCATCTGATGTATTTCTGCATGACTGTAAAGGAAGCAATGACGAATTAATTCAGACCGATATGATGGAGGGTATGCCACACCTCCTCCTGCTCTCTGTCTCTTTCTCTGTCAGTCAGCGAATGTACGGCCCCCTCCCTCTGTGCTTCATTTAGCCTGTCAGGAATGAAGGAAAATCCTGACACCAGCACTCTCTCTATCTGTTTAGCATTTTCACCTCCCGCTGCAGGATAGAGTGGCTTTAGGTGCGGTCCGACGAGGAACAATACACCGCCTTTATCGACCCCGTTAAAGGAGCTCAGCTCCCAATCTGGTCTACCACTTGATATCCTTGCTTCAAATTTTATAGGTGCTTTCCACAGCTTAACTCTGACTAGCCATCCAGCGCAGCAATTTCTCGGTTATTGTGCTCACGCTCTGTAACTTGGAGAATTTCACACAATCAGAGCAGCAGTGATCCATAAAGATTGGGGGTTTTCAGGTTGTTAAAGAGCTGATGTACAGATTTCACTTTTTTTAATGTTAACCATACTATATAAAAATTTTTTTGGTGGAAAAATACTTGTTATAGGACATTTGATTATATAACGAATCGTAACATCTCCATATTGTGTTTGACCATTTCATCCTATACATTTGGCGCATGAAGAATTCAATTTAAAAATATTTAATTAATAACAAAAGGAAGTGAAATGTTGCAGTAACTCATGGATTTCTTTTTAACCAGTTATAAATGTTGATCTTCTGTCTTGCACTGGACCTGGAGAAGCCTCTCACTGAACACGCTGTTGTTGTTTAACAATCTTCTGATGTGGATGCTCCCTATTGTCCATAATGTGCCTTACTTTATGAAAATATATTCTTTGTCAAACAGAGCTAGTTAGTAAGTCAGAACTCCCACATATTGGGTGGGTTAACTCATATTTATAGTGTCTCAGAAATGTAGTCTTATTCATCTTGATATATAATATTATATTGCTCTTATGGCCACTAACCAATATTTAGTAAGATGATGGTTTATTTCTTTCTCTTTCCATTTGCACACCATGAAAAACAGACATCAGCCCGACTTTACTTCTCTGCACCCTGTGCTGCATTAAAACACTGTGGCATGACCAGAAAAAAACCCACATGTCCAATTTCAACTAGGGATCAACAGCCTTTTTTAGACCAATACCAACATCTTTATGCTGTATTTTATTCTTTTATAGTTTATTTTATTATTTTTAGCTATGTTCAGCACTTTGTTTTCAGCTGTAGTTTTTTTTAAAGGACTCTTTCCAATTTAAATGTTTAATGTAATACAATGATAAAAACAATGTTACACAAAAACAAAAAAAGCAGCAACTAAATTAAAATAACCTAAATAAGACTAAATGGTTGTTAATAACGGCCCAGTTTCACTTATAAAGCTGGTATTTAAAAAAAAAAAGAGCTAAATTGACCGATCTGTTAATGTAGATGTATTTTTCATCTCCAATATTTATGTTTTAATTATAGTTGAATAGACAAGGTAGTGCATAACCATGAAGTGAAAAGAAAACAGTAAATAGTTTTCAACATTTTCTTTCAATAAGTCATTCAGCCACTTTTAATTTGATACTCCTAAAAAATTCTGTTCCACCAAATGTCTCCGCCTGACGCCGCACAGCTCTGATGGGAGGATTGTTTGATGGAAGAATTATTAGCTTCAAACTTTAAACATCTGCTCTTCTGTGGCATTGGCAAGAACAAAACTAGTTGAAAGAAATATAGATAGAACTCCAGATTAAAATGTGCCTTCATTTATGTAGGACACATCATAATTTAGGTGCCTGAGATGAATGAGAACATGGTTTCAGGCTTGTCAGACCAGCTGGGTAGAGTTAAATTGAGATTTTCTCAGATTTAGGTTAGTTAGATTAATGTGTGCATCATAGTTGGTTAAATAGAAATCCACAAACTATGCATCTCTGGCTGTCATTTAGAAACAAGAACTGTGTGAATAACAGCTTGGACTTTAATTCCTATCAAGTTTTTAGATTTCAAATAACACCAAATACTTATTAAGCAGATAAAAGTGCTTAAACGGGTGTTGCAGTGGTGCACAGGTAAAGCTCATAACCACATATAGAGACTGTAGTCCCTGTTGCTGTTGTGAAGGGTTCAGGTCTCAACTTATTAACATCTGCAGCAGGTTCTCCACACTCTTTCTCAACCCTGTTTCCTGTCACCCGTCTTTCAAAATAAGGGTAACTAGTGCTAAATATAATAAAATAAAAACTTAGCGAGTAGTGAAAAATGTGCAAACTACATAATGGATGCTAATGCAGATAAAAACTTTACAAATAACATCTTAGATGTAAACATCCAGCAGCTGGGAGGAGGGGTCTGCAATAGAGCTTCTTTCGTGCACTGGGTGCAGCGACCTTCCATTGAAGGAACAGCTTTTGCAACAAGTATTATGCTGGTTGAAAATACTTGACAATGATGTTCTATTTGCTGCAGTCATTCTGTTTTTTTACCACCTGCATTGAGTTCAGGGGGCATTCTAGGACAAACATTGACACCCCAATCAGTTTTTCTAAGTATTTCATCTTTGCTATAAGTAAGCTGTTGCTCCAACAAACTAAGCATATTGATTTATTAGAACAGCTTAGTCAAAATTGAGACCTAAATGTTATTGAGGACTTGTGGTAAGACCTTAAAATAGGTGTTTACAGAGGCTGAAACTTTAATATCAGCAAAAGATGGTTATGCAAATGCAAACCACATTTTTTCTGATTTTTATTAGCAATATACAAATATTTTTCTTTTACTTTACAGTTAGCTGCTACATTGAGTTGGTCTATCACGTTAAGTTCATAATAACCCACTGAGGATTGCAGTTGTAACATGAGACAGCCGGAAATGGCACAAGGGGAATGAATGCTTCCGAATGGCACCGTTCAGCCTTCTAATACAGGCCTTTTTGCTGCTTTGATTCAGCATTCAAGTCTTTCTGTGTCAAAGGAATTAAATGTGAACTTCCAGCTTAGTTTAGCTGCAATGGTTAAAATGAGATTAGAGCGAGAAGCAAGCCAAACATTGCTGCCAAGCCCCAGCTTCATTTAAAAAGCACAAAACAGACGAGGCTGTGACAAAATAATACACCAACAGCTTCAACATCAATGCGCTCACTAAAGCAGAGATGCTAATCACATAAAATATCTTAAAATATCTGGTTGCTATCAGTGTTAAGGTTGGACAAAACAAACGTGCCGTGGTAGGGAGCTTTTGGTTTATTTTCCTGTATTTTGTTCCCCATAAGTGTTGTCCATTACCTCAGTTTCACATTGTCCAATTGTCTCCAAGGAGGATCGACTTGCTGGAGGCTTATTAGCTTAGAAAATATGCTTCAAAGTAAAACCATTCAAATATCCAGGCTACATTTATGATTTTTTTTTAAAGGGTTTCTATTTGCTCGAACTTAATTTATCCATCACCAAAAACAATTTAACATAGTTGGCTACTTTGTTTTGCCTAAAAGGAGATTTATTAGGCAAAAGAGACCCAACGGCGATCACTACCCTTTTACCATCTGCTCCCAGAAACACATAGCAGAGCAACAACAGACATCCAGATGTCTCCCAGTGTAAAGATTACAAAAGAAAATGAGATTGAGAGAGCAGGAAGGGCAGACGGAGTTGTGTCGTCAGCGATTAGGTAATAGTTATTACGCCTGAAAATTTGACACACATCATCACATATGTTACAGCCTTTGGCGAGCAATAAGTGCTCTGGGGAAATGTTGAAGTGGAGATGACAGTCAGTTCCTTGTTTCAGGATTACTGTATTTGTTTTGTTGTGGAAATTGAGCCTAGACACAGGATGGATGTTTACAGCAGCGGTTGTTGCTGAGAAACATGCCTACACTGTGTTGGAGTAGTTGTAAGCCCTATGAGTTGATCCTCTAGCTGTTTCCCTTCCCATTTTTTCTCTACATTGTTTCTTTAATTATAACATGATGCAAGAATTCTATCATACAATTAAAATTTTGCTCTTTGAGTTTTTTTTCCCTCTGTTCTTCTTATTTGTTTTTCTCACTCGGTTTAATCTTCACCTTAGCTCATCTGTTACTGACAGGAAATGGGAGGGTCTTTTCTCTTACTTCCCAGCCGAAGCTGGGTGTGTAACTTTGGCTTCCTCTACTATAAAACTGCCCAGCTGGTTCTCTAAATTTAACTCATGTTCAGCAAGAGACTTCAGATCAGGCCAGTGCAAATTAGCAACACCTACCAAAAATATCCACTCATTCCTATGTGCATAATGATACACATTTATTTTAAACCACATATTAACTGTTTAGAAATGTGGAGTCATCAAAACATTTCTTCAATAGAGCAATGTTACATATCTGGACACAATAAAGAACAACGCAGTTCTAACCAGTTAGAGAAAAACATCAGCTGAAAAACAACTTGACATTTTGTAAAAAATTGTATCTTTCATGGTATCTCAAAAATCCCTAAGTCATTGTTAAAAAGAAATGATTCATTTTTCTTCACAATGTTGCTTCAACTCCTTGAGGTTTGCAGGGTTTTCCTTCCGTAAAAATTCTAAAAATATCCACAGGACTTGGTTTCCAAGATTTGAAGACGAAGACCAAGTCCAGTGGATATTTTTAGAATTTTTACGGAATGACTATGACCTGGATGACTGAGAACCTTCATCAGCATATTTGCAGGGTTTCTTTGCTGTCACTACAGCTCTTAAATGTCTTAATTAGGAATTGGTGGACTTCAAATTGTATCTAATTTTGTGATATAAAGTTTGCTGACAATACCAGAGAGAGTGGGAAAAAAGTCCAACAGAATTTAGAATCCACAGTATTGGCAAGGATGTTGTGATACAATATTATCATGATATTGAAATACCACAATATATTGTAATATTCTACCCAGGTAATATCAAAATGAATTGCAGAGATAAAAAAGCAAGTGCTGTATATGTTTATCATAAAATATTGATCATTCAGTTTTTTAGTAATTTTGGTAGCCATGTTATTTGGGGTTTGAATCAGGCTTTATCTCAATGTGTGTCCTAACCCCTCACTTACTACATAAAGGAGGACCATATAGTGGACTTCATAGTGAACTCAGTCAACTGACCGTTCAGACAGATGAGCACTGCTATCTGTTGGTCATGTGACTCTGGCTCCGACTCTGGCACTGTGCCTGTGCCATCTTTGTTCTTTTTTGACGCCAAAACAAATCCCATGATGCTTTGCAAGGACAGCTATTGCAAAGGATTCTGAGACATATATGCTTGTCTAATGACCATTGATGTACACTGCTTGTCAAGGTGCATTGAGGGAAATTTTGTGTCCACTGCTTTTTCATCCACCAGACATTTGGACACCATATAAAATGGCATAACACCATAAAATGTTACTGACCTGGCTAACTCCTACATAGTGCTCTTTAAAGGGGTTAAGGTGGACATTTACGTCTGCCACTGTGACTGCCTCTATTAATTCATTTCAGTTTATTTATATAGCGCCAATTCACAACCCCCCATCTCAAGGCACTTTACAGATACAATTCAACCAGATCATACAATCAAAGTGATTCAAAGTTTTTTATCTAAGGTAAATCAGTTGATTGCATCGACTGATTGACTCAGGGCAATCTCTCACGCAAAAAATGTATAGAGCGAAGGTGGAGAGAAAAAACTCCCTTTAAACAGGAAGAAACCTCCAGCAGAACCAGGCTCAGTGTGTGAGCGGCCTATGATGGGCCCTTTTGCTGCACCGCACAGCAAAAGGGCTCCAATTAGCCATCTACCTGAGCCGTGGTGTGCGCATTTCATCCCAGTTTTTAGAGAAAAATGTTTTTTTAGAAAATCTGTATTTTTTGGTTCCTTAAAACGAGCTCAAATCGTAACATTTAACCAACTATTTTGCACAGTTACAATCTGTTGTTGTTGTGTTAAAATCCTTTATTAAATTTCTTCTATGAAGGACACTGTGCATTAAAGTATATCTCCGCTTTGTTTTCTTCTTTAAAAGAACATGGTCACTGATATCTTTGTTTAGATGAGAAAATTCATTTTCCTTTAGAATTTTTTTTAATCTGGCCTTGCTCAGTAGTATAATAAGACTATCTCCTTGCTGTTATTGACCAGACAAAATATAATTAAGCAGCAGCACAAAGTTTTAATGCATATAGAAAATTCTGATTAGTTTCAACCAAGATAAGCTTGTAAAAAAGCTAATTTTTATTCTTATTTGCACAGACTTTAGTTAAAATGCACACCATTACATTTATGGACAGTGGAAGTAATGGAGGATTGCTAGCTCACTATAAAGAGGTTGTGGTTTCATGGGAACTCAAATAGTGTGGTGTGTATCTGTGTTGTATCCTAACCTTGAAGCAGCAGTCCTTCCTGATTCTCTGGAGGAAGGACTGCTATGCTGTTAGCCAGGTCAGTTTAAAGCAGTTATGTGTTAAGCTAACTGGGCTAACAGCTATGCTATTTAATAAATCTATATAAAAGTACTTCATTCAGTTTAATTTCTATAAACAAAGGACAGTAAAAAATTTCAGTCCCTCGCTGTATATATTTGCTGTCTTAAAGGATGGAGTTTAGGGGCATGCTATAAATACCGCTAATGTTCCAGGAAATTCAGCTGTGTTGTTTAGATCAGTATGCATGCTAAACATAAGAATTCCTAAGGGAATAAGCTTTTCTACATGACGCCTACAAATGTAATTTTATCTTACATAAAAACCGATCAAGACAAGTGGCATACTAGTCTGGATTGTCCAGCGGTCAGCTGCTTAGTTAGTTCAATCAGCTCAGTTTTCCCTGATTTTGTGTCTTTAAACATATTTTTATTCTCTCCCAATCTTTACCCAAAAAAGTCCTCATGATATCCTGGATGTTTTTCCGTTGCCTTTTACTAGCAGAAAGCCATAGTATTAAAATTAGCTTTTTTTTTGTCTCTATGCTGCCCCCTCTTGGCGACTTAAGAGGTGTTTGGCAGCTTTGTAGGTGTTCTTATTCAATTATCTATCTACCTATTTAGCTGGTGTGACATGGAAACAGACCTAATATCTGTGTCATTCTAGGAGCACTCTTTTAAAAGTGAAGAATGCATCACAAACCGAGAATTAAGCCCAAAATTCTTTATCTTTGGACATGCAAAAAAAAAAAATACAGCGCATACAGGGTCAAAAACAGTATTACTTTATGCTATGCAATCCTCCTGCCATCTGTACATCCATCCACCTAAAAGCTCAACAGGAAGGAAGCCTTTCAACATAAAGGTAGAATTCACAATCAAGATAACCTGCACTGATTTTAATCTTACTTACTTATTACATGACCATAACAAAGGTTAAAGACAAAGGTATTGCACAACAAACTTAGATATTCCTATAACCTAAATATTTCTTGTTTATGGCTCTGACCCTAGTCAAAAGTATATGCTTTGATTTAACATGAATAAAACATTGAACAAAGGACAAAGTGGTGGTTTGCAAGGCTGGGTATCAAATCAAAATTCAAGAAATAAATATTTTCCAATTCTAAAGATCTGAAAGGAATTCTTTCCTTTTTCTTGCCTGAACATTTATTCACTGCTAGAAAAATCTGCAGCCTTGTATTAGTCAATTAACTTTGTTTGTGATCTCTCATATGATGAACTTAAAATTGTTTAGAAACAGACTTTTGCCCTTAGTCAGATTGATCAGCAGCTGTTATTTCTTCTCTTGAGTTATTACATCTGCCCTTTGTCCTTGCATTGTGTATATCTAATGTAGACAAAGATCAACATTTTTCTTCCTATGTTCTTCAAAAACAGTAGGGTTTGCATAATTTTTCTATAACCTGCCTTTACATCTTGGTTTAGTTTTAGCTAAAGCAAAATACAATCTGTGGTAGTTTATCCGATGTACTGTATTTAGCTAGCTGAACAGGGTGCTCTTACTTTTTTACTCTTGCTTCATTCATTAAGAGCTTAAACCCAGACCTGGTTCAGTGCCTGTCTCTCTTTAGTCGCATGTTCTCCTTAGTCCTGCCTCTGTGCATCACTCAGCCGTTCCATTTTCATCCATCATTCATAGATTGAGGGCCAGTTCATGCAGCAGACTGCTGTGAGTGATAATGACTAAAGCCTTAGAGGAGATGTAGGTCATTGGTATTTTCAATTAGTCCTGGTGTGAAGGGCCAAAGGGGATCATTGTGAAAATTGCTGTAGAAAAACATCATGAATCTGATTTATTAGATGGATGTTTACTCATTTTACTGTGGTTAAAAGGAATGTTTCTTTAAGTCGTTTTAGTGGTTCTTAATGTGTTCCTCGTAAAATGTAAATTTACTATTTTTACTACAGTATGTTATTATTGTATCATTAAAGTAATTACAAAAAAAGACTTATTTTCCAAGCTTTTTCAGTACAGTGTCAGAAAGAGCATTGAGTTTGAGGCTTTATATCATTAAAGTCATTTATCAATATAGTCGTAAATAAAAATAGATAAAAAAACTCAAATGAGTGTCATAATATGAAGTACATTCTCTTGGCCACACCCCGGTTTAACAGTTAATTTTTTTTCCAGAAAGGTTTTGTTGCTGCCTGGTGGTTCTGTTTTCCATGCTGTCATCTACAGCTCAAATCTGATCTGTTCAAAGAATCTTCAAAGAAGACATTGATGGTGATGATGATAATGATGATGATGGCTTTATTTGTCCCAATGCAAATTGATTCACAGCATTACAATGCGTTTACAAAAACATGTACAAAGACATAAACTGCAGGGAAGATTTTTGTACTGCATAACAGTCCAATCCCACCCAATGTGAAGGAAACATTTGTCCTTTTCTGTGAGGACCGAGGAAAGCTTTACCTTCGTCCTGAAGTGAGCAGCTGAAATAAGGAGCTTGGGGA